TGAACTAAAAATACACAATTTTATTTCTCCTTGGTGTGAGTTGAGTTTTAACGCCGCTTTTAACATTATTCCAGTCATATCACGGCATGGCAGCTTAATGTGGGAGGAAAGCCCGAAGTGATGCATGTATCAGACCTTTACCACTTCCGTGAAACCCATGAGCAGAGGTATGGTGCTGACAAACCTAGAAACATAATCGGGGCGAACCGGGATTCAAACCCACAATCATAGGTTTCTGGTGTGCCCAAGGGACGCAACTCTGCACAGCGTATTGCGGCGCCTTAGACGACTGGGCCACCCATGCCCCCATTTCTCTTTGGTAAACTTTCAGAAATATATCCACTCACTCGCTCGCTCACATCAAGCTGCCACGCTGTGATATAACTTAAATAATTTCAAAGTAGTGTTAAACCCAACTCACTCACTCACACACTCACACCTAAGACCTGCATCACTGTGGGCTTTCCTCCCACATCAAGCTGACACGCTGTGATATAACTTAAATAATTTCAAAGTAGTGTTGAACTCACTCACTCACTCACATCTAAGACCTGCATCACTTTGGGCTTTCCTCCCACATCAAGCTGACACGCTGTGATTTAACTTAAATAATATCAAAGTAGTGTTAAACCCAACTCACTCACTCACTCACTCACTCACTCACTCACACCAACTCATCTATAAAACAGATCCTCGAGTAAGTTGGGTTTAACACTCGATACTCAATATCAAATCAATTGATATGTCCATGACTACATTAATTTGACAACACCTTCAAATACATTCAGTTTTCATAGTCCTGGAATCAGACAGGTATTTAACAATCAGACAATACAACGCAACTCCGTGATAGATGCTGCCCCACAAAGACAGTGTGTTACCTGTAAAGTGCCCCTGATCACCTATCCACATCAAGTCAGATCAAGCTGGTAAAGTGCAATATTACGATGACAACCCATTTCTTTGCCTCATTTAGCAACCAACCCAGGCATGTATACAATATTTAACTTGACAAACTGACCCCACACCAGTGTGCACTGTTCACAAATAATGGATGCTGTAATCACAGCCCTTCAGGGCAGTGCTGCTTGATTTTCTTGAAAAACTGGATGTTTCAAATTTGCAGTTACAAAAATAAAGCTTAAAGTTACAAATACATAAGCTAAATGTAATGTTTCATTGGCATTTGTTAAGTAAATGCAAAGAGATAATAATATGTTAGAGATAATTTAATTATAATTTAGATTTAATTGCAAGGCAGACAGAAACAGAATCGCTACAATATAGCTCAGGATTATCTTCACGTTCACAGGAAAACACAAGCTTATTAATTATCACACAAGTCATAAAGGTAAAGAAAACTCAATGAAATGACCTCATGAGGCCAGTCTGACTTCAAATTATAAGCCTATACCAGGTAAGGAATTTACAATACCGTATTCGACGTAATAAGCGCCCCGCTCTAATAAGCGCCCACGGCGATATTTGCTAATATATTGGCTAGTGAACAATCCCCATTAGCATCCCTTCAAAATTGATCAATGTACACAACACTTATTTATCATGTAAAATACACACTTGTTTGTTATATGCACCCTTAATTATGGGCACTTAAATTCTGGAAAAATGTATCTCTCGTATATACATTTCAGACTGTCAGCATAAAGCACAAACTTTATCTTACAACACTTTTTTTTTTTCTCACAAAAATAATATTCTTACAAGAGCCCCCTATTTCTAATTTTGAGAGTGCCCTGGGCGCTTATTATGTCGAATAAGGTAGGTGTGCCAGGGGTACTCTTAATGTGGTTTAGTTGTGCCCTTTAGAATTTAAATTATGCCAACTAAAAGAATATTTTTTATCAATCCTTAATCTCAGAGAATGTCATTACACCAAGGCTAGATAATAGCAGTTGTAAGTTGGAAAGTTTCCTATCTTCCTTTCCATTGTGACTGATAATACCCAAATCCACTTTATGAATCATGCTGCACATCAAGCACAGTCATCATCAAGTGTTGTCATGTTATTTGGTCCAAAAGGACATTTATCACTGGTTTCATAATCATGTATAATAAACATTGTAATAAGGTTGTTAAAAACAATACTATTTCTAAGTGCACTTTTTAGGCACTGGGACATTATTTTAACCATGCCATTTTGATTTTAACTGTGTCATTGCCACTAAAGTGAAAGGAATTTCAAACCCTGTATGTTATGTAGAAAACAGTCTAATGACATCTTCCTGAGGCAAGGGTGTTAACTGACTATAGAAGTCCAGTTTCCACCCTTGCCGAACTAGGCTGGAATTCAAGAGTTGCATTTTGTCTGGACTAACGAGTCTATGCATGGTCGAATCAAAATTGTGTAACGAGCTAGACATCCAGTTCATATACATCTCAGTGTGCCAATTTCCGTCAATTTGCAAAGCATGCGGACTATCAACTGGGTGTAAATAGATATTTTCCAAATCTTTTCATGCTCAAGTGTTGTGTGACAATCAACATTTTCTTCACATTTTTACTTCTGATTGTCTTGGCTGGGTGCTGCCATTTTGTTGCCAAATGCATATGACATGAAAGGTGGAATCTGATTGGTCAACAGGAGTGACATAGAAGGGACATAACACATAATAGCCACTCGTCGTGCTACAATCCAGCCACGAAATTCAAACCTGGTTCGGCAAGGGTGGAAACTGGACTTATATGGTCAGTTAACTCCCTTGCCCCAGGAAGATGGAAAAGTTACAGATTCAGGAGCATGTCCTGGTTAATGCTCAAGTGCCTGTTCAGGTGCATGTTTAGGTGTACGTTCAGGTGCATGTTTAGGTGTACGTTCAGGTGCATGTTTAGGTTATGTTCAGGTGCATGTTTAGGTGTACGTTCAGGTGCATGTTTAGGTGTACGTTCAGGTGCATGTTTAGGTGTACGCTCAGGTGCATGTTTAAGTGTACGCTCAGGTGCATGTTTAGGTGATTGTTTAGGTGTATGTTCAGGTGATTGTTTAGGTGTATGTTTAGGTGATTGTTTAGGTGATTGTTTAGGTGATTGTTTAGGTGATTGTTTAGGTGTATGTTTAGGTGATTGTTTAGGTGTATGTTCAACTGCATGCTTGGTGAGGTGTATATAATCAATAAATATCTCTGACTACAGGAAATAGTAAAGACGTTATTACCCATAACATTCACATCTTCCTATTCAACCAACTTGAAAATGCCCGGCCCAGAAATCTAAGTAATCCAAACTTACCCAACTACAATATTAACAGCAGCTGATCATGAATAGCCTGTACTTTGACAAGTGAGTATTATGAGGTTCATGTATACTGTTTTGTCATCATTTGTGTGCAAGGACTTGGAACAGCTCATTCGTGCTAAGGAATTTTATATGACTAAATCCTTATGAATGTTCCATAAAGGTTACTTGATGTTCCAGGGTCACGAAGTTCAAAGCTTGTCAGTGAAGTGACACAACCATCTATACACGTTAGACTAGCCCCTGTACATGAACACAGAAGTGAAGATCTCTATGAAATATAAATATATAACACGCCACATGATACAGCAATAACGATATCAACAGAAGAGAGTTCCGCTCCACCAGGTGTCCACAAAACATGGCACTGTGGAAAACATTGGGTACACTACATCTACAGAATTTCAGACCTGAGGAATGTTTTAATACTCTATTATTAGCCTTGAAATGGGAATTCTTGAAATATCTACACACACCATTAAATATATAATTCTTATTCCCTGTTTAAACGTTATGGGTTATATATGCTTGATGTTCTCAATTAATTCATTGTTGACTTCCCACAACAATTGCATTCTGTAACTGTACCTTCCAAATACCATTAAAACTTGTAGGCTGTTGAATTGCATTACTAACATTAAATAATTATAATTTTATTTAGAAAAATTAATTCATCATACATAATCTGGATGAACAGCTCTATCAAGAAACAATCTGTATTAATCATTAATATAAAAGTGTTCATCTATGAAATAGCCATATAGTCAGATAATCTTAACACTGGCTAATTCAAAGAGTAACAATGCCATACATAGACTGATGTAACTCAAGGCATAGACTACACTGAATACTATGCAATACCATTTAGGATTTTGCAAATTGATCTGGAAACATCTCCACAGCTGTCAGTATCAAGTCATCTCCTATCCATTTCATCTTCTGTATCACTCAACACTGCAGCCATGTAGCAAAACACCTCACTAATTCTGCATATAATGCTATAAGAATGACAACCCAACCATCAGTCAATGTTGTGATTGTCCCAGGAGAATTCTTTGATACTTTCCTACACATAGTTGTAGCCGTGTTTGATTAATGTGCAAAAAAAAGACTAAAGTTCCTTTGTACAATCGGTGTCAGGGGTCGTATTTGAAACACACGCCCTGGATACACAAATGCTGAACACAGGTAGATGCAAAATCACAATAGAACAATGAACAAACAAAGAGCTTTTCTGCCATTTTCTAACATTTCAGGAAGGAATTTAATCATCTGACAGCATCTTATGAAAGGTGTTCTCCCTATTTACAGAATAACAGACAGAATATTGTTTCCATGGTCTGTCTGCCATTAAAGTCAGTCAAAGGAGCAACTGTACCTTAAAGTTGCCTTGAACAATGAAGGCAATACCATTAAAGTTTCTTTTCTTGTTCAAAATACCATTAATAGTAACATTGTTTTCTTGTCTAAGAAAGTTGTCAAAACTTATTCAGTTAACATCAAATACATCTTTGTAATCTATAAGATTCTCCAATCAGTAGATTGATCAAGCCATGTCCACAATGGTCTTGTGTTCATTGTTCAAGATGTCAACCAACCAAACATCATTCTTGTTTCAAAAACAAAGACAGAAAAACATATAATCATACCTTGAATTATTATTTTAGCAATGTTGTGACAAATAACTTGGTACTATGATGCTTGAGTTGGAGAGAAAACAATGCAGGCTATTGTAGTGAGTGACTAACCTGGTAGAAATCCCTTGTTGTTCCATAGCTGGGCACGATGCTGATACCTAGACTCTCCTCTCCAGTCTTCCTGATGGTGACGTCTTGCAGGATGAATCCATCTAGGTTGCCTAGCTCTGGCATCTCCGATCCTGACAAGATGTGTACATCGGGCAGGATCCCTCCCTGGCCAGACATCCTATGATGAGGAGGTGGTTCAGCTCTCTTCACCACCAGATGCACACGAAGTGGGATTTCCTTGAACACAGCGACACAGTCATGATGGTGCAAGCGACGGAGGTTGGTGCCATTGACTTCAAGAATCTCATCACCAGCACAGATACCAACAGAACTACCTGAAGCTCGATATGCTGCCCCATCTTCTACAACACTCTTGACAATCACAGCCTTGACATATCCACTACTCTTTCCTCCCTCCACACTCAGCCTCATGCCAAGATTCTCATCCTCAAGTCGATGAAGGATCAGATTCTCCACAAAACCATCATTCCCATTTGACAAGGTCAAGGATCTCACAGAATCAACATCAGCAGCAAGCTTCATAAATTGTTCTGAAACATGCTCATTTGAGAAGTGCAGGGGTGGCAATGTTTGGCCAGATGAGTCCATTCTGCGATATGTTCCCTCTGTGCCTCCAGAAACTGCTGCAGGTGAACTGGAGTCATCAGTGTCTGTGTTACTGTCAAAGCTGGAGGTCTCCGACACTCCGGAACCTGGTGTGTTGTTGAGTGAGACACCCACTGCACTGTCCACTGATGACACAGAGAGATCCAACTTCTTTATCCCATCGCTTCTTTCATCTGTGTTCTGTTGAAAGACAGAATCCTTCTGCTTCTTAGTGGGACTTGGTGGGGACCTCCCCTCACAACCTTCATCCCACTTTCGTTTCAAGTCAGGGCTACCTCCATCTTCTCTCTGACCTAGGGGAGATTCATCCTCTGAATCTTCATTCGACTTCTGATACAGTCTTGGAGACCGAAGGACTCTCCGGGAAAATGTGTTGACATCAAAATCAGAGAAGTCAGACTCTGTTCCATCAGAATCCATGATGAGTGTCTGTTTGGCAAGGACCTTCAGTGAAAGAGGGGAGTGGGCACCGGCTCCTGTATCCACTGAAAATGTTATCTGAGGACATGAAGTCCCTGTCCCTTGACCATTAGGACCACCGTCATAGCTTCCTACTTCAGGATCCTGAAACACAGCACAAAGAGGTCTAGAATTACTTCTTGTATAAGTTTAATATGAATATCAATAAAAATGAGTTTGATTCACTTTAACAGAACAATAATGATGCATATGAAAATATTTGAGTAAGGAATTTTAGAATATGCTCTACTCCATAATAACACCAAAGTTCAAGAAACAGTGCATATGGGCACAATGTGTTTAACATGGTAGAAGATAAATTTGTATTTATTTGACTTGATTTTTTAAAGGAATATTGTTTTGATACCTTTATCTCTTTCTGTAAACAATATAGTGTTTTTCAACTGTGGATCAAAACAGAATTCTTGTTGACAAGATCTGTCAGGAAAGTTTTCAGAAAATTCACAAGCAAAACAGGGCCACATGCACAAAACAAATGTAGCACTACTGTCATGATAGTCATTGTAAGTATGTGTTAACCTATAGAAGTTGTGATAGTCACAGTGCTTCAATCGCTTTATGCAGGTGGCCCCGGAGCAAATGCTGTTGTGGCGTCATTGAAAAGTATTGTATGATTGCTGTTTACGTTGTGACCTGATCTGTGATCAATAATAGATCTGTAGTCTACTGATGATCGATGCAACTGTTTGACAGGTCAGTAGCAGGCTTGGCACACTCATCAGCCATGTATGGATTACAGTGAATTCAGGAATGCTCATACACATTCATTGAATATCTCTCACAGGCACATCTGGGAGTATCAGCAATCACATGCATGTCATTAGCGTGTGAGGTGGGTTTTGCACAGCTCTGAAGAGCAATCTTATGTGTCCCAGGAAGATAGCTTAAGACAAAAACATCTTAAGTGACATAGGTTAGAGATGCTTATCAGCTGGGCAAAACCAACATGTAATGGTATTATGTATACAGAGCAGAGGATCGTAGCACTGAGAAGGGACACAACTTTGCATAAAAAAATTGCTTCCAGTTTATGTATAAGAGAGCACATCCTCAGATTGTCACTATGTACTTAATAAGCTGAATGAATGCAGGTAAGATGATTTGGTCGTAATGGATATAGGTGGTGAGGTGAAATGGGGTTTAATGTCGCAGTCAAGATTACTGAACTTAGACAGCGAAGTGTGTGTGTGTGTGTGTGTGTGTGTGTGTGTGTGTGTGTGTGTGTGTGTGTGTGTGTGTGTGTGTGTGTGTGTGTGTGTGTGTGTGTGTGTGTATGTGTGTGTGTGTGTGTGTGTGTGTGTGTGTGTGCTTGTACTAGTCAGGACTTACGCCAGTTTTATAGTGATACTATGTTACAGTTTAACATGGATACATTGGATACAACAAACTGACTCCAAGCCGACTAGTCCTTGGTTTATTCCCTTAATGCAAATATCAGGAAGGGTAACAACAAGTACCATCTTTTTACAATTTTGGCATGATGCTGCCAGGGGACCAAACCACCGACGTTCTGCTCTCCAAGCAGATGCTCTATCCACTGGACCACAGAGGCAGTCTGATAATGGATCTCCAACATTACATTATTGGTTGTGCTACCAAATAAAATGTGAAACCAATCTTTTTTTCATTATGCAGTACTGCTATGTCCTGATGACATTCAGTCACACGTCTGTACTAATTGAGAGCAGAGTCAAAGGTCTCTCAAATCAGACACAAGCAAAGTCAACACTGTGTCAAAGAAGTCTTAACGTATGCTTTGATGTCAACAAAAATATGCCACAGGAACTCTTATTCTGATCATTGTAAAAAACAGAACAAAACACATCATTCGCACATCACAGAAAAATGCACAGATGTCATTCTCCAACATACCACCTATACGGTGTTCACTTCAACATACTGGTTAATCAGACCTCCACAACGTCCTAGAATCCCCCAAAAGGAAACAATCTTGACTCAAACCACAGATTCCTATCAAGATGTCAATGACAACCAATCATGCAGTATTCCGTGCAGACAGGGTTTACATCATCAAGAGGAAACAGCAACATATTAGCAATAAAAATGAGTCTGCTGTGAACATGAAGAAACAAACACAGCTGTATAACAAAGGCAGGATAACTTTACAACAGATTTACCAGCCCCTAACAATGCCTCGTACTTACTTGACCAGTCTACCTTCATCACAATTGAGTACTCCTCCTCTAGAGATGGTATATAACCGATCATGTGAAGATGTCTGCGGTATCATCTGTTGACTATTACCATGCGTCACTATACAGTATGTACGTATTGATTGGGGCACTGTTATGTTCAAGCCCATGCAACAGATGGCCAGTGCACACAGGAAAGGTGGTCGACATATTTTCTGGCCATTTGTGCCCATTTTTTTTATTTTTGCAAGGACGCTGCTGTCCTTGTCAATGATCATCTTGATGGATAGCTGGTGTCTGTTAGAGGACTAACCAAATATCTCATCGAAGATTTAAATTTGCTGATTCGCTTCCAATGAGAAATACACTCACTGCCTAAGAAGAAACGTGAACCATAGAAATTATATATATAAATATAGATAATTATGTACATTTTATTTTTGCAAGGACGCTGCTGTCCTTGTAAATGATCATCTGTTAGAGGACTAGCCAAATATCTCATCGAAGATTTAAATTTGCTGATTCGCTTCCAATGAGAAATACACTCACTGCCTAAGAATAAACGTGAACCATAGAAATTATATATATAAATATAGATAATTATGTACATTTAGAAGAGATGTTTCCAATGTGTACCACTTAATGACAAAGCTAATAATCAATCAAGTGTTACCACAGAGTGTCTTTATTCTTATCACGATATGCTGCATGTGATTTGCAAACTTACACGCTAATCCTGCACGAGACAAATGATGCATCGCGAGCCATGGATCTATGATGTCACATGTGATGCGTTCATGAGCGTCGATTCACACAAGATGCCAGTATGTTCGTTAATGCATTGAACCAATCTAATATCTCTTGAAATGAGTAATTCTTCATATATTAACCAACATGTATGGTGTTCATGTTTCGTTTGTCGTGAGTATATATTCAGCTTGGCATAATTTTTTCCTCAACGCAAACTTTCTGTGTGTAATATTTTTCTCTGTTGTGAGTGTTTTTTTGCTTCTAAAAAAAAATGGAATTAGTTTTCAGTGAAGCTTTTTCTCCAAGCTGATATATTAAGTTGTGGGAAATATGTGATTGCATTGTATACTATTTTTTTTATATTTAGCATACCGGTATGCAAAATCATTTTCTTGTGTTTCGACCCTGTTAGTTGCCTCATATGACAGAAGACCAATTCTAGCCCGGATGTTCATGGCAGTATTTCTTATGTAAATACAATGATTCAATACCCTGTGCTTGATTAGCAATAACACCTGTTGCATTCATGGATGACAATGTTCTTCATTCACAACTGTCGATGACATCAAGGTTAGTAAGTTGAAAATATTATGTATACCTGAACATCTAGTCTGTCATACAGACCTTGAAACAAATATATCCAATACAGCCCATGCAAGTCTATAATGTTTGGCAAGTCTAGATTACTGCAGTAGAAGAAAGTCTATGGGCTCCTTTTTATTATATTTTATAACTATAATTTAGCAACTGTTTTTTCTATAAAATTTGTTCATTTCAGAGACTAGATAGTCTACTGAACATCGGTACCTAGTAGATCTAGATAATTTCAGGAACAATACTTGGTCTTCATGTATACATACAAAACTTTTCAGTCATAGGTTTCGCTTTGTATTATTTGCTCATGACTTGGTGATGTTGATGACTTTCTACAAGACTTTTGTGTTCTGCTGTTGATATGTTTAGACAAGATTGGAGCATTTCTTTACAGAAAGTTTCAGATACGATATGTACCATCACTGTAAGTCCTCTGCGTTTTCAACCTGGACCTAATAACAAGCTTTTAGTACATAAAGGACTTGATATCACTGGAGAGAAACATCATTAAGAATTTGCTCTATTTGTTCTAAGGGTGTGGAATCAGAATCACAAATTCATTTCTGACAGATGCCATTGAGCTCAGGTCGGACAATCCGTAATCTGACAGAATTAGGAATTTGTTGTTTCACCCTGTTTGAGTGAGAGGAGTATGTGTCACCTGTTGTTTGCATCATAACAGGAAGGACACGAGGATACCTAGAGTGTTAGTGTCCTTAGTTTGTCCCACCACCATTACACTGCCACATACCTCTCACACAGATACGGGGCAGTCGGGTAGCCTAGTGGTTAAAGCGTTCGCTCGTCACGCCAAAGACCCGGGTTCGATTCCCGACATGGGTACAATGTGTGAAACGCATTTCTGGTGTCCCCCGCCGTGATATTGCTGGAATATTGCTAAAAGCGGCGTAAAAACCATACTCACTCACTCACTCACACAGATACAGATCCGTGAAGATCCGGGGTAGAATAAGTCTTCAGCAACCCATGCTTGTCATAAAGGCGACTATGCTTGTTGCAAGAGGCAACTAACGGGATAGGGTGGTCAGGCTCGCTGACTTGGTTGATGCATGTCATCGATCCCAATTGAGTGGATCGATGCTCATGATGACAATCACTGGACTGTCAGGTCCATACTCGATTATTTACAGTCTGACGTCAAATAGCTGGAATATTGCTGAGTGTGGCATTAAATGTGCGAATGCCAGTTCATCCTGATTATGTTTCTTGGTTTGTCAGCACCATTTCAATGTGGGTTTCACCAAAGTGGTAACACCTAAGACCTGCATCACTTTGGGCTTTCCTCCCACATCAAGACATACTGTGATGTAACTGGAATACTGTTCAAAGTCTCTTATGACTTAATGTAGGCTACAGGTTATACTGACCCATTTTTTATTTTCGGTTCATGTGTGTAGAGGGGGAAAGGGCCCTGAACTTATGATGAGCCTTACCAGCCTGACTGTGCCAGGATCAAACAAACCCTATTTACTGCATTTTTTATTTAAATCTGTATATTATAATAATAACAACAACAACAACAACAATGATGTGTACACTTATATTGCACTAGCCTCCACACATTCA